TTATAATGATGTAACTGCATCAATGGAAAAGGGATGAGCCACTGATGTAATCTATCTGGACTCCAGTAAGGCCTATGACATGGTCCCCCATAACATCATTCTCTCCAAATTAGAAAGATATGGATTTGGCAGGTGGCCTGTTTGGTACACAAAAAACTGGTTGCAAGATCATATGCAGAGAGTGGTGGTCAGTGGCTCAGTGCTGAGATAGAGATCAGTGACAAGGGGTATCTCTCAGTGATCAGTACTATGACCAGTGCTGAGAGAAGATTTAGATTGGATACAAGGAAAATATTTTTAATATTAGGGGTAATGAGGCACTAAAACAGGTTGCCCAGAGATGAGGTGGAAGATAGGATGTCTCCCGTCCTTGGAGACATTCAAGATCAGGCTGAGTGGGCTTCTGATCAACCTAATCTAGCTGTAGATGTCTCTGTTCACTGTAGGGGAACTGAACCCTTAAGAGTCTTTTCCAACCCAATTTCATGATTCTAGGATTCTAGCATTTTCCAAGAATTCCAGCTATATCTAACTATAATTTGTATTATAACAAAATCAGATGAAATATTTTCCACTTTGACATTTGAAATAATATAGGGAGTGTTTATCTTTTAAGTAACGTGTAGTTTTCACTCATCTCTAAGTGTACTTCATCTATCTTCCTGGTTACTTAGCCAGTGCTTTCAATTTATGAGTTCACATTCATTCAGCTTCTAGATTTGTTCCTTCACAAAATATTTAAGAACACTAATAATGTTTTCTTTAAAAATGCTATCATGAACATCTGTCTGCTTCCTAATCATATGACTAGCTTATCCTCAATTTCATCCTTCTCTGAGCATATTGATTACTTTATTGACCTTTGTATTCATTGTGCATTTGCTCTTTTGCACCTTTAACAGAATATGTCATTTATTCTTTGTTTCCATGGATTTACTTCAGAAATAAACATTAAAAGTTGACAGTGTGCTTATTGTCAACTCTAAATCTTATTCTGTGATAAGTAATTGATCTCCCCAAAAGATTTTCTTTTTACAATCTAAAAGAGAAAATAGATTACACTTGAAGGAGAAATGTGTATCACTGTTACTGAAGTATAAAGGAAGAAATAGAATGAGGAAAGAAATCTTTGTTAAAAATATTTAAAACAACAGCATGTAAGTTTGAGTCTGCAGATTCTTTAAGTATAAGTTAAAATTATTTATTATTGATCTATTATTGATAATTATAGTACTCTTAGTTTAAAATGTCCAATATAGAAACATAGAATGGTTTGGGTTGGAAGGGACCTTTAAGATCATCTAGTTCCAACCCCCGTCCTATAAGCAGGGACACCTCCCTCTAGACCAAGCTGCTCCCCATGCAGCCTGGCCTTCAATGCTTCCAGGGAGGAGGCATTCACAACATCACTGGAAAACGTGTTCCAGTGTCTTACCATCCTCACCGTAAATAACATCTTCCTAATATCTAGTCTAAATCTTCCCTCTTCTAGTTTAAAACCATTTACTCTCATCCTGTTGCTACCTATCCTTATAAAAAATCCCTCTCCAGCTTTCCTGTAGGCCCCCTTCAGATGCCAGAAAATCTCTATAAGGTTTCCTCAGAGCCTTCTCTTCTCCAGGCTGAAGAGCACCAGCTGTCTCAGCCTGTCCTCATAAGTGCTCCAGCCCTCTGATCATCTTTGTGGTTCTCTTCTGGACCCACTCCAATAACTCCATGTCCTTCTTGTGTTGGGGGCTCCAGGACTGGACACAGTACTCCAGGTGGGGGTTCACAAGAGCAGAGTAGAAAGGATGAATCACTCTCCTCAACCCGTCGGTCACACTTCTCTTGATGCAACCCATGATATGGTTGGCTTTCTGGGCTGCAAGCACACATTGCCGGCTCATGTTGAATCTCTCATCAATCGACACTCATAAATCCTTCTCTTCAGGGCTTCTCACAAGCCACTCTCTGCCCAACCTGTATCGGTGCTTGAAATAACTGCAACTAAGGTACAGGACCTTGCACTTGGTCTTGTTGAACTTCATGAGGTTGATATGGACCACCCCTCAAGCTTGTCCAGATCCCTCTGAATAGTATCCCTTCCCTCTAGCACGCCAACTGCGCCACTCAGCTGGTTGTCATCTGCAAACTTGCTGAGGGTTCACTGAATTCCACTGTCCATAACTCCTACAAAGATATTAAATAACACTAGTCCCAGCACTAGTCCCTGAGGAACATCACTCATCACTGGTCTCCATTTGGATATTGAGCTGTTGACCACAGAAGCAATTTCTTGGAGTCTTACCATCCCAGACAATTTTTTATCCATGGTCTGGTCCACCCACCCATCAAATCCATCCTTCCTCCAGTTTGGAAATCAGGATGTCATGTGGGACAGTGACAAATCCTTTGCACAAATCCAGGTAGATGACATCAGTTGCTCTTCCTTTATCCTCCGGCACTATAACTTCACCATGAAAGGTCACCAAGTTTGTCGGGCCCTTGGTGAAGCCATGTTGGTTACCATCAATCTCCTCTTCTTATTTTCCACATGCCTTAGTAGAGCCTTTAGGAGGATCTGCTCCATGAACTTGCCAGGCACAGAGGTGAGACTGACTGGTCTGTAGTTCCCTAGAAATTCTTTTTTACCCTTCTTGAAAATGGGAGTTGTGTTTTCCCTTTTCCAATCAGTGGGAGTTTCAGCTGACTGCCATGACCTTTCAAATATGATGGATAGTGGCTTGGCAACATCATTTGTCAGTTCCCTCAGAACCCATGGATGGATCTCATTGGGCCCAATGGACTTATGTATCTTCAGGTTCTTTAAGTGATCTCAAACCTTATCTTCACTTACATTGGGCAGATCTTCCTTCTCCGAGTTTTTAACCTTGCTTTCTGGAGCTTGGGCAGTGTGGCTAAAGCCTTTGCAAGTGAAGAATGAGGCAAAGAAAGCATTGAGCACCTCAGCTTTCTCTGTATCCCTTGCAACTGAGTCTCCAGTTTCCTTCTGGAGAGAGTCCACATCTTCCCTGTCATTCCTTTTATCACTGTTTCATCTGTAGAAATTCTTCTTGATCCCCTTTATATCTCTGGCTAGATTTAATTCTGTCAGGGTATTAGCTTTCCTAATGTGACCTCTGGTTGTTCAGACAACATATTTGTAGTCCTCCCAGGTAATCCATTCCTGCTTCCAATCCCTGTAGACTTTCTTTTTGGGCTTAATTAAGTCCAGAATCTCCTTGTTGATCCACAGAGGCCTTCTGGAATTTTTGCCTGCCTTCCTTTTTTTTTTTTGGTGGGGGGGGGGGAATACAATGCTTCTGGGCTTGGAGGACATGGTCCTTGAATACCGATCAGCTTTCTCAGGTCCCAGTTCCCTCTAGGGCTTTATCCCATGTCACCCTGCCTATTCTCCAACAGTTCAAAGTCTGGTTTTCTGAAGTCCAGAGTATCAAGCTTGCTGTGCACCCAATTTGATGCTCTAAGGATTTTGAACTCCACACTCCATGGTCACTTCAGCAAAGGCTGCTCTTGAGCATCACATTATTCACCAGCCTCTCCTCATTGATGAGGACAAGGTCCAGCATAGTACCTTTTCTTGTTGGTTTCTGTACTACTTGGAATAGGAAATTATCATCAACACATTCCAAGAAACTCTTTGATTTCTGGTGCACTGCTGGTTTGTCTCCCCAGCAGATATTGAGGTGGTTAAAGTCTCACATGAGGACCATGTTTTGTGAATGCAAAGTTGTTCCTGTCTGTTTATAAAGCTCCATGTCCATTTGGTCTTCCTGATCAGGCAGCCTGTATCGGACCCCCACTATGACATCTCCTTCCCTTGCCTTCCCTTTAACCCTAATCCATAAGCTCTCTGTCAACTCCTCATCTGTCCCCAGGCAGAGATCCGTGGACTCCGGGTCATTAATGTAGAGGGCAACACCCCTTCCCCTTCTCCCCTGCCTGTCTTTCCTAAAGAGTTTATACCCATCTAATCTTAAATTCCCGCTGTGTATATGATATGTTTAAATATAACTTTCAGTGGGAAGACAGTGCCTGATGATTGTAGAATCATAGAATCACTTGGGTTGGAAAAGACCTTAATGATCACCAAATACAACCATGACCTAACCATAGTACCCTAACTAACAACTCTCAGCTAAATTACATCCCTGAGCACCACATCCAAAAGGTTTTTAAACACATTCAGGGATGGTGACTCAACCTCCTCCCTGGGAAACCTATTCCAGTGCTTAACAACCCTTTCTGTAAAGAAGTGTTTCCTAATATGCAACATAAACTTACCCTGGTGCAAATTGAGGGCATTTCCCCTCATCCTGTCACCTGACACCAGTGAGAAGGGACCAACCCCGCTCTCGCTATAAGCACCTTTCAGGTATTGGAAGAGAGCAATAAGGTCTCTCCTCAGCCTCCTTTTCCCCAGACTAAACCGCCCCAGATCCTTCAGTCACTACTCATAGGGCATATTCTCCAAGCCCTTCACAAGCATTGCTGCACTTCTTTGGACCTTCTCCACCACCTCAATGTTCTTTTTGTATTGAGGTGCCCAAAACTGAACACAGTACTCAAGGTGAGGCCTCACCAATGCCGAGTACAGGGGCAGGATGACTTCCCTAGTCCTGCTCACCACAGCATTCCTGATACAAGCCAGGATGCCATTGGCCTTCTTGGCTACCTGGGCACACTGCCGGCTCATATTTAGCCGACTGTCCATCAGTACACCAAGGTACCTTAAAAATGCACCTCCCCAAGCCTGTAGGGTTGCCTGGGGTTGTTGTGACCAAATTGCAAGAGCCATACTTGGCCCTATTAAAACTCATGCTGTTAACCTTGGCCCATCAATTCAGCCTATCCAGGTCCCTCTGTAGTTCCATTCTCTCCTCAGGCAGTTCAACACTCCCTCCCAACTTGGTGTCACCTGCAAACTTACTGAGAGTGCACTCAATCCCCTCATCAAGATCATTAATAAAGATGTTAAATAGAAGTGGCCCCAGTACCGAGCCCTGGGGGACACTGCTCATGACTGGCAGCCGACTGGATTTAACTCCGTTGACCACAACTCTCTGGGGCCGGCCATCCAGCCAGTGCTTCACCCAGCGGAGTGTACGCCCATCCATACCATGAGTATTCAGCTTCTCCATGAGAATGTTGTGGGCGACAGTGCCAAAGGCCTTACTGAAGTCCAGGTAGACCACATCAATAGCCTTACCCTCATCCACTAAGCAGGTCGCCTTGTTAAAGAATGAAATCAGGTTTGTCAAACAGGATCTACCATTTGTAAACTCATGCTGACTGGGACTTATCCCCTGGTTGGCCTTTAATTGGTCCATGATAGCTCCGGAGATTATCCATTCCATAACCTTCCCAGGCACTGAGGTGAGACTGACAGGTCTGTAGGTACCAGGATCGTCTTTCTGGCCCTTTTTGAATATGGGCATCACATTTGCCAGTCTCCAGTCTGCCGGGACATCCCCAGTTAGCCAGGACTGCTGAAGAATGATGGAGAGTGTCTTGGCAAACACATTCTCCAACTCCCTCAGCACTCTAGGGTGCAATCCATCCGGCCCCATGGACTTGTGAGCATCCATCTCATTGTGGATCGTGAGGGCCTATTCTGTTCCCCATCCCTATCAACCACCACAGGGGGCTGTGTTCCCAGGGGGTAACAAGTCTTACTATTAAAGACCGAAGCAAAGAAGGCATTAAGTACCTCAGCTTTATCCTGATCCTTGGTCACCAAAGTTGCCCACAGCATCCAACAAGGGATGGAGATTATCGCTAGCCCTCCTCTTGTTCTTGATGAATTTATAAAAATACTTATTTTTCTTTACCTTAGTGGCCAAGTTCAGATCTAGCTGGGCTTTGGCTTTTCTAATTTTCTCCTTGCACGGCTTCATTTCATACCTGTAATCATCATAAGTAGCTTGCCCACTCTTCCAGAGACCATAAACTTACATTTTGTTATTGAAATCCAGCCAAAGATCCTTGTTCAGCCAGTCTGACCTCCTTGCCTGTCGGCTCGTTGGGTGACTTGGGGATGGTCAGCTCCTGCACCTTTAAAATAACTTCCTTAAAGTATTCCCAGCCTTTCTGGGCTCCCATGCTCTCCAAAACTACCTCCCAAGGGACCCATTCAACCATGGTCCTAAAGAGGTTAGAGTCTGCCCTCCAGAATTCCAAGGCAGCAGAGACGTTAAAACACATACTGAAAAATAAAACACATAGGAAAGGAATACAGAGAGAAAAATTGTAGTTACTGACACTGTAAACAGTGGTAGATGTGGTTTAACCTAGCAGTCAACTAAGAACTGCACAGCCACTCACTCTCCCTTCCCAGTGGGATGGGAGAGAGAAGCAGAATAAAATCCCAGTAATGTAGAAGTTGTAAACTGGGTCTATTTACTGAAATAGAGGAGAAAAATAGTGTAAAGGTAATATATGTTCATACATATTTACAAAACAAGTGATGCACAATGCAATTGCTCACAACTCACTGACCAATGTCCACTTGGTCCCTGAGAAGCAGCTGCCTACCCTGGTTTCATGGTTTTATGATTTTTGTTATCTGTATTCTACATCATAACATCATGTAAAACACTGGGAGATAAAGAGTTAATGCTTCAGTTCCATGTCCTGCTGATTTTCCAGGTACTTGGTTCTCAGAAGAGAAGAACTACATACTCCAGAGAAATTTGAGTTTAGAGAAAAAGAGAAATTCCTCACAAATCATGAGACTTGCTCTCTTCTGCTGCCCCGGCAGTGTGTGGTTGTGTTCCTCAGCCATCTCACCTTCAGTTTTAGAGTAAGGCCTTTGGTTTCAGACCTCTTTCTCTCATTAGCCTCAACTCCAACTATATTGTATTACATTGTGTTATCTTGGATTCCGATATCATTTAGTAAATTATCTTTTCTTCTCAGATCATTGCTGCTGTTGTTTTTAGACCCATCTCCCAGCTCCCTACCCTTCCCCCTTTTCCCTTTTCTCAGGTGTGGGTCCGTGGGTCCCCCTGCCCCACTTGTCACAGAACATGGGCAAATTGGCCAGTAAATAATCGGCTTACCTTCCCCCTCCCCTCCCCAGTTTTTCAGGCCAATGGGCCTGTGGGCCTGTTGTCCTCCTGTAGCACACACAGATAAATCCAGAGATAACTCCATGACAGTTATTGGTTGAGGATGTGGGCAATCTGAACCAAATTTGAACTTTTTAATGTTAGCAGAAAAAGAAAGGATTTTTTAAAGTCAGAGATTTGCAGAGCACCATAGCTAGCTTTGACCTTCACAGATTAGATTATAGGATGGGTGGTCTGCCAGACTCTGGACACTGCACTGAGTTTTTTTCGTTTTAGTAGCTGCCAGCTGTGAAACATTATTTTAAAAGCACTGTATAAAGGATTAATGGCCATTATATTTTTTGGAACATATTGGTTTTTTTATTAAGTTCATCATGTTCTGTTTTGGAGTTTTATATATATATATAACCTATTAATGGCACTGATGGAGTCACAGTCCTGGTACTTGTATGCAATGTTGTATTATTTGAATATTGACAGTTACATCCCAGAGGGAGTAGCAAATTTTACAAACATGATATTTAGACTGGTTTCCAGGCTCTCTTCGCAGTTCCTTACACATTTTTTGGAATGCCGAATTAGTGATCATGTTATCTATCTTCCTGAATGTATTCATCTTCATTTACATTATCTGGAGGAAGACCCAGAATCAGAAAATGTTGAGTGGCAGGGAGAGGTTTAGAAAAAATATTAGAAGGTGGGGACCAGCAATGTCACGGGGTTTCACTCTTGAACACCTGTGGGATCCTGAGAAACTAAGTAAGTATTTAAGTCAGGGATGGTGCAGCTTAGGTAGATCTGAGGAGGTATGACTTATGTGGTGCTTGGCTTGTGCTTACTGAGCTCTATATAATACTATTCTGGAGAGAGAGAGTTTCTGAGCTGAGATTTGAGCCAAAGGGGGAAGTCTCTAAGTTGAACCTGATTAGTCACAGAAGGCACCAGTACTGTTGTCAGTTGCCCCTGTGGAAGGACAGAAATGGAGATGGGTGTCATCATGACTAGAATGGCAAAAAGAAGAAGTGGAGGAAGATCCAGGTGAGGGGCTCTCCCCAACTCCCCTTTTCCAGTCATAACAAGCCCTGATAAACAGTCTGTCCCTTTTTTTTCTTATAGACCCTGGATATATATTGAATATATAATTGGATATATTGAAAAGCTGCTGTCAGATCTTAGCAGAGCCTCCTCTTCTCCAGGCTAAACATAGAATCATAGCAAGGTTGGAAAAGACATCTAAGATCATCCAGTCCAGCCATCCACCTATCACCAATATTTCCCCACTAAATCACGTCCTGTGGTACAACATCTGTTTCTTGAGCATCTCAAGGGACAGTGGCTCTACCACATCCCTGGGCATTCCAGCACCTGATCACACTTCCAGAGGCAAATTTTTTTCCTAACATCCAGTCTGAATATCCTCTGACACAACTTGACGCCATTCCCTCTAATTTATAGCTGATTCCACCACACCACAACCTCCCTTCAGGTAGCTGTAGAGAGCAATAAGATCTTCTCTGAGCCTCCTCTTCTCCAAACTAAACAATTTCAGTTCCCTCAGCCACTCCTCATAAGATCTGTGCTCCAGACTCCTCACGAGTTTTGTTGCCCTTCTCTGGGCATGCTCCAGGGTCACAATGTCTTTCTTGGAGTGAGGGTCCCAAAATTGAATACAGTACTCAAGGTGGAACCTCACCAGGGCTGAGTACAGGGGGAAGATCACTACACTGCTCCTGCTGGCAGCATTATTTCTGATCCAAGCCAGGATGACATTGGCCTTCCTGGCCACTTGTGCAAACTGCTGGCTCACATTCAGCCAAGCACTGACCAACACCCTCTGGTCCAGGACCCTGGGGAACACTAAGCATCACCAGTTGCTAGCTGGATTTAACTCTATTCACCACCTCTCTCTGGGACCAGCCACCCAGACAGTTCTTTACTCAGCTGCAGTGGAAATGCTAAGTCATGGTTTGATCCAGTGATTGAGCACCCGGTAGGAATGCAGGGCCAACCCGATGAACTCAGGTGCATGCAAGGCACCTCAGTGACTAGAAGGTGTGGAGCCAGGATCCACTCCTTCCCAGACTTCATTTAAGGGTTGTTAGTGGAAGCAAGGTTATATCTTTGGAGATCCCTGTATATCTGATGTCTTTTGAAGGGAATTAGTATCTTTCTTTTATTTTTGTGCCTATAGCTGTTGTGTTTGAGTGAATCCTCACAGCCTGAGATTTTTTTGCTCTGCTGTTGTTATGCTTTCCATCATGTTGTAGCAGGTAACCTCATTTCACTCTGAGATAAATTTAGGCTTAGAATTTGAGAATATTTCTGAAAGTAATTTCTGTGTCTGTTTAAGTGTATTAGGAAATGAATGAATTATTAAATTTTCATGCTTAAAAGATCAATCAAAGTAAGAAAACTTCCATTTTATGTACATATATTTAAGGAATACTTTTTTTTTTTTTTTTTACCTTGCACTTGGGTATGTTGAACCTCATTAGGTTCTCTTAGGACCACCTTTTGAGTTTGTTGAGGTCCCTCTGGATGTTGCCCCTATCTTCTAATACATCAACTGCATCATTCAGCTTGGTGTCACTGGCAAACTTGCATGGATACACTTGAACCAGTCATTGATGAAGATGCTGAAGAGCAATAGTCCCAAGACAGATCCCTGGGAGACACTGCTTGTCACTAGCCTCCTTCTGTGCGTAGTAACATTTAACACAACCTCTGCCTATGGCCTTCCATCCCATTCCTTATTCCCTGAATAGTCAACCATTCAAATCTGTATTTTTCCAATTTAGAGGTAAGGTGGTGGACCACAACAAAAACTTTGCACAAGTCCAGGTAGATGACATCAGTTGCCTTCCCCTTGTCCAGTGATTTTTGTCACTCTATAACAGAAGGCCACCAGATTGATCATGCATGACCTTCCCTTGGTAAAGCTATGCTGGCTGTCTCAGATCACCTGCTATCCTTCATGTGCCTAGGAGGATCTGTTCCATGATCTTCCCATACAGAGGTGAGGCTCACTGGCCTGTAGTTCCCTGGGTCCTCCTTCTTCCTTTTCTTGGAAATGGTAGTGATGTTTTCTCTTTTTTCCAGTCCCTGGAGACTTCACCCAACAGCCATGACTTTTCAAATATGATGGAGGGAGAGCAGCTCAGCAACCACATCAGCCAGCTACTTAATCACCCTGGGATGCATATCATCCAGCCCCATAGACTTTTGTACATTCAGACTCATGAGGCAGTCTCAGACTTACTATGCTCTTACAGCAGAGAGGGATTTACTCCCCCAGTTCCCACCTAGAGCATCAGGGATGCAAGCTTCAGGGTCATGAGAAATACAAGAATCCTGGCTGCCAGTGAAGACTGAGGCAAAAAATGCATTTAGTACTTTAATCTTTTCTGTATCTGTCATAGCCATTTTTCCTGTCTCATTTACCAGTGGAGGTATGCTCTCTTTGGCCTGTCTCTTCTGGCCAATGTACCTATAGGATCTCTTGTTTTTAGCATCCCTCACTAAGTCCAGTTCCATCTGTGCCTTGGCTTTCCTAATCACATCTCTTCAAATCTGGGCAGCATCCCTGTGTTCTCCCCACTTAACATTCCCTTGTTTCCATAGCTGGTATAATATGTGCTTTTCCCTCAGTCTGACCAGCAGGTCCTTGCCAAGCCATGCTGCCTCCTCTGCCTGGTTTCTTATTCTGAGGATGGGAATCTCTTGCACTCTCAGAAAGGCATCCTTGAAGAGTAGCCCACTTCCTTCCACTGCTTTATCACTAAGGACAGCTTCCTAGAAGATCTCGTCCAACACAGTTAAAGGGATTTAAACACAGTCCTTAAACACAGTTCAGGGTTCTGACCCCACTATTTGCAAGGCCCACGTTCTTGATATCAGAATCTCAACCAGGGCATTGTCACTGCAGCTTAGACTGCTTCCAGTCTTAATTATTTTAATGATCTCCTTTGCACTGGTGAGCACCAGATCTGGCAGCACTTTACCTCTGCTTGGTTTTTCCAATACTTGAACCAGAAAGTTATCATCCATGGACTCCAGTAATCTCCTGATACA